GATAGGCTCCAGTCCAGTGAAAAGTTGTATAAAATGGCTTCAAAAGACCCGAATTCAAAGATTAATTAAGCTGTGTACCAAATTAAGATGTGTACACCATGAAAGTCAGTAATAACAGCTACATTAAGTTGTTGTACTGCAATATACACTATGAATGGTAAATGTTATGCAGATAAAAGATTGTTTAAAAATAGACAGTTCCAGGTATCATGTTCAGTGTTCCTCAAAATAAGGGTTTCCCCAACCTTACACACAGTATGCTTGCATAATGGTGAGCAAAGGCTGAATACATCTGTACATGTTGTATGTTTTTTGTTTATTTTTTATCAAATTTGCAAAAAAGTTTAAAGTAATTTTTTTCATGTTGTCATTGTAGGGTATTGGGTGTAGAAATTTGAAGTGAAAAATGAAAATAATCCATTTTGGAGTCAAGTATTTATTAGAAATCCACAATTTAACAGTCATAGAGGCTGTGATGGCACAAGCAATAGCTTAAACTCACAAAATTCATGAAGAAATTCATAGCAGAGTTTTTGCTGATTATTTTCCAATTCCTTTCTGGTTTTAATGCTTAATGTGTCAGTTTGTATAATGTTATTTGCTGCTAAATCATCCTTTTTCATTGCATATTGATGAAGTCCATAGGACGCTTCATTAGTAGAGTCACCTCCAGTTCCTCCCTCTCACTGAAGAACTGGGCCTTGCTCTCATTTTTGTGGACCGGATCAGGGAGATGGAGCCCCAGTTTGCTGAAAACAGATGGAAAGGCAGGTTAAAAAAAACCAAGTAGCACTCAGGGGGGGATGATATATGTCTAACACTGAAAGACATTAAGAGTTGTGTGATAAAGCAATCAAAGCTCAGATCTTGGCATGCACCTCTGATTAAAAGGAAATATCTGAAACAGGGCGCTTCTGGCCTTAAATGTTGCCTCTAAGTCTTCAGGGAATTAAAAATGAAAGCAAACATTTTCAAAGGATCTCTTACTATTTCGGCGTCCGTAGATCAAGGAACTTTTCTTTCACATCCAGCACCACCTCTTTTGCTTTAGTGTCTGGTAGTTTGATTTTAACCTACAAATGAGGGAAAAGTTAGCATTGTTATTATTCTACATTGTTCACATTAATATATCTATATGTATCATTTTTATTTTAAAAACATTTCCCCTTTTTTATTCTTCAATTGTAATGCAAGATTAGGTTTTAAAAAATACTTTCCTCCTTCCAATTACTCTTAAATTTCAAGTAACTGAGTGGGGTCATTTATGACCACAGCCATGTATGTATATGTGCTGCTGGGTTTTTTTAATTGTTAGTTGTTACCTACTTTGAATATTACTTCTACTTATACTTCCACTTTTTAAAGGTTAACACACATTACATGTGAAACATCCCAGTTTGAGATCCTGAAACAGCTAGTGTACTATAGTGTTGATTTCAAAGCCGGATAAATGGTTGCATCATGAAGGGCATCCAGCATAAAATGTGTGCCAAATCAAATATGCGGATCTGCTGTGGAGATCCTTCCAGTAGGTGAAAGTACCTAAATAGCTGCTGTAATTATTGTGATATATTGGTGATTATTCCAGAATCAAGCATCTTACTATGACCAATCTAAAAGAGTGAATGCACGTAATCTCAATATTTATAAGTGTTTTAACACAAACTATTTTAAATACAGACTCCAAATATTATTTATTGGAAATATTTTTACATATGTTTTAATGCATGCTCAATAATACAGGTGAGGAAATCCCAGAAAGTTGATTCTTTTCATTTGGATTTCAGTAGGAGAAACACTACATCACCCATCCAAGTCACTTTGTCAGTCTCAGCTAAATGCAGGTTTCCCCAACCTTACACACAGTATGCTTGCATAATGACTGAAACTAGCAGCATTGCTTAACAAAGAGCCAGAAGGTCTGTGGTTATGACAATGCGTGTTCTGATCATGAAAGCAATGGTGCTTTCTCTCATTATGCAACTGTATTGTTTATAAGTTTGGGGAAACCTGCTGTCAGCTGAGACTGAAGGAGTAACCCTGTGAAATGTTTCTCCCACTGAAATCTAGATGAACAAAATCAGCTTTATAAATCTACAAACAAGACTTTTGTTTAGATTTTGTTTAGAAGATTGGAAGTTAAAGACAATGAAAAAACACCCTGATCTATGATGTCTTCTTTGTAATTTATTGCTGATCGAAGTATTATAAGTCAGTTCATCTGTATTTTGGAGTGAAAATGATACAAACATACTAAAACACACGATTCCCTTAAATATACATAATATTTCATATTTACACAAAGTAACAGACAAAGGCAATCTTAGGAATTTGAGAACATTTTGAAGTATCTGTCAGAGATCAGGTGAACAGTAGAGGAAAGATAAACACTATTAGAAGCATTTAAATATTTTTTACGTATATAGAGCCTGGTCACTATAGCGTTAACCTGTCTCACCTGTGCTAATGAACATTTTTAGACTGTTCCTTTCTAAAGTCTAAAACTAACTACGTCTTCAACAGAATTATCTGAAGCCAGCCAACATTTAATAGGAGATTCATGCCTTGCTGCTCTTGATCACAACCTTGTGCATTTCATTTTAGTATCAAAAAAGTGCACTGAGTGAAGTGTTAAGAAATCTTGTGACACTTGGTAAGTTACCAGCATGGCTTCACAACACATGGAGGATGGATCCTTTCTGCTTAATCCCAAGAAGAGATCCTCTGTTCCTACACTCTGCTTCAGGATTATTTCATACCTGCACACAGAGGTTATAAATGAAGCAGACACACTAAAACCAAACGCAACAAATATCACATTACCAGACATTAAAAGGAGATTAAACTCAGAAACAGACAGTGTTTGAAGAAGTATGAGGACTCTTTTGAACCTTTAAATATCCGCTTTTCATAATGTTTGATGCTTTTTTACATCCACTGATGGTGTGTGTCTCTTTCTGCATTGCAGTCTTACTCAGGTTGTGGCCTTGGGTCAGTCAGATCATCATACTGTGAGCCTTCGGCCACTTCTTCTTCACACCAGATATCTTTGCTGTTCTTCTTCGTGTTTGCGGTTGACACTAATTAAACAGTCACATAAAGAGAGAAAGACAAATGCAGAAACAGTATGCTTGAATAAATACTTTTTTAGAGTGCTTATAATTGAAAAATACCTTGTTTTTCGTTTTTGGGTAGGGGGCCAATATGTCCGGGACCCAAACGTGCACATGCTTTCACATCCTGTGAACATAAACTAATATTAGTGTGGGGGGAGACTTGGCTTAATAATGGTTGCTGTAGTTGAAATACAATGATACATATTCTGTCCACTTCGTTTTACTCCATATTCTCCCATTGGTCCTCCCTGCCCACACCTGCAGACTAATAAACTTTACACCATTTTTCTAAATACCCTAAAATTTATATTTTTATTGAAAAATTATTTTTAAAGGTTCATTTTGCTAGTGTTGATTGATTATCCTTCCTATATACATAGGATTAAAATGTTGCTTTTTGAAAAATGTAAAGAGACTACAATTTCTGAGGAAGATACTAAAGGCTAGTGTTAGCAGGGTTTTAACATGAACGCATGTAGTTCTTACTTTACACTCATCTTCCTCTTCTTCATCTTGCTGACTGGACAACAAGGCAGACAGAGCCCGGAGGCTCTTTGCGGAAGATACCCCAAGACAATCCATTCAGAAAAAAACAAATAAACAAAATAAAAAGCGCAGCGGACACAAACGAGGAGGAGAAAGCTGCTTAACTATAACTAACTATAACAAAACAATTATTTTAATTGGTGCTAGTATACTAATTTTAGCAGCTCACGTTTGGATTGTTGACGCTTTCTGTTTCCCTGGAGACACCAGGCTTTCCCGCTGCCATGGCAACCAGTGACGTCGAACAAATTACGTGGCCAGAGTCACGGTTACGCAGATCGCCGTGAGCTAAGAAGCCTTGCCAGGGAATTTCTAATATCACGATCTCCTCTAGCTCTCTTTTTTTATTGCAGCTTTGAGAATAATGCATACTGTACTGTATACGAGAAAAACTGGGCACTGAGAAAACAAACAACAAAGAAACAAAGATGGTGGTTTTAAAGACTTATTTTAGCACAGAGTTGTATAAGAATGAACGACTGCTTCATTAATGTAATGTCCCACTAACTATTTAAATTTAACTGAAAGTTAATTCACGTAATGGTTTAAAATAGGTGTCATATTTATGCCTGAATGGGTTAGCAAGATGGCTGCTGGGTGACTTTTATAGGACGCTGTTACAGGCTAAATGCTTTATGCACTGTAAACAGCTTTTCTTTAGATTAGTCCGGCAAAAGTGCAGTCTAAATATCAGTGGTGTATCTAAGATTGTAAATAAAAGAAAGAATGACTATAAGTTGTTAAAACTGTTTAAAAAGAAACATTGGAGGAAAAAAAATAGTGTAAGTGATGCAAATACTAATAATTTCATCCAGTTTAGCCTACCTCAGGTAGCAGACCTTGCCTTAGCTTTGACTTTTACGTGGAATATTTGAGTATCATATAATGAGGGCAGTGGATCAGAACAGCAGATATCCCAGTTAAGTACAGAGGACTTTATTGTAGACTACTAAAATAAAGCAGCTTGCTTAAGTCCTCATTCTAACTTCCTATTTTAAAGTTGTTATTAAAAATATAGTTCTTACAGTGTATTTAGTTTACCCATACCTTCACAATCTACCTTTAACAAGTAGGTTATTCCTTTTTTGCAACTTTATTGATAACGAACCCATTCAAACATATGCATGACAGGCAGTCAATTTATGGTGAAACATGTGGACACTTTTTTAAACTGCATATCTTTGGAGTTCCATATGAAGCATGGTTTGGAGATGTGGGCACAGACATCATTACTATCTGTAAAGAAAGCCTTGTCCTCACTGATATACTTTATTCCTCCTGCCACTGTTGGCGCGCTTTCAAGCGTGGTAAAAGCGTTTGGGTGAGAATCAGAGAGGCGGGGCTATCTGTCTTGTCCCTCCGTGAATACCGTAGTGAATGCATGGCCCGCGGGGATCATGTTGAAGGTGACAGGTAGTGCCATGCCGGGAGCCCTGCGATTTTCACCGTTCACCGTGTTTGCTGCTGCCGGTGACGGCGAGAAGGAACCAGCGGTGGCTCCGTTAAACGTGGACGAACTGTCTCTGTACACCGCTCCCCCGGAGAAGTTTCAGTACGTGGAGCCTAAAGCCGGGCAGCTGGAGGAGCGAGTCGCCACCCTCAGGAAGTTATCGGAGCCGTACACTGCTTGGTGTCAGGTCACCTATGAGAAAATTAAACCCAAAGTTCAGGGGGTCTTCCAGTTTGGGAACGACGCATACGCCTATGTGAAGAACCCCCCGAAGGACTTCTACCCCCGGGCGGGAATCATCGGCTTTACCGGAGTCCTCGGGCTGGTTCTTGCCAGAGGCTCCAGGATTAAGAAACTCATCTACCCGACCACTCTCATGACCCTGAGCGCCTCTCTCTACTACCCGGAGCAAGCAGCGTCCATCGCAAAGTCAACCGGAGACTCCGTGTACGACTTGGCCGTGCAGAGCTACGCAGCGGCGGAGAAGATCTTAAACCCCCAGAGCAAAGCTGAGAAGGTCAATAAACCCGAAAAGAGCAGCGACTCCGAGACCAAACAGTGACGACCCCGGCGTGACTGCAATAACCGAGCAGTAGCCAATCACACAGCAGCTTTATCCCGATACTGTAAACTGAGCGCTTTCTAGACAGTGTGACTTTTTCATGCCTACACTTTGCACTAAGCTTCACATGAAACTCAGGCCGGGCAAAGGGAAGGGGGGATTTGCAACTTGAATGACTCCCTTCCGATTTGAATGTGTATTTATGTAGAGATAAAGCAGTGTCTTACATTAAAGTTGCTTTACCGCCTTGATTCTGTGTCTTATAATGCCACATGCACAAACAAGATGGTCAGCACCAAAGAGAAGAAAACTAATTCAGGATTTTAATAATCAGTCGTTTATTTTAACAATTTTGTTCAATGGGGTGACAAAGACCAAAGTAGGCAAGTCACATTTGATCTGAAATTGTGTATTAGTTTCAAGTTTTGTCATATACAAGTAACAATTATTATGCTCAGATTTTAAACATATTGTATAAAATAGGTTTTGCTAAAAAGTCATAATCCTACATAAACTCAACATTTGTAGTATTAACTACTCATTAGACCCATTTGCATTATACTGCTCAGTAATGCTAGATATATCTCAGCTTTATATTTTAATGCTTTTAAAGTAAAAACTTCAAAGTCATTCTAAAGCTTTAAAGTAAATGGTATGGAGTAGAAATGGCTAAAAATACTGTTGAAGTAGAAAACAGCATGACCCAGAAGTACTTAGAAGCACTACTTAAAACAACATACACACCCACCATGACATCACCTACTAATTAGTAAAATCTCAGCTTTGAGTTGAGCAATTTTGCTATTGCCAGCTTAGCATTCTGAAACTGGATATGCCAAAACAACCAGTGGTTCAGTCTGAAATTAAGCCCATGCTCATTGGGTAGCAACTTGTAAATAAAATGTCATTAGCCAATGAGCATTTCCTGGAAAATCATAATTTCTGACTTAGTAAATTTAATGTTTTATGAAATATAACTTGTGACTGAGCTCACAAATAATCAGGAAAACGTTGATGTTAAAAAGGACTGGAAGGCCGTTAACCTTATAATTCTATGTAAACCAAAGTCCTTTTACAGGCAGAAGTTCCCACTGCCTGCTGACCTTCAGAAAGAATGAAAGCTTGAGGGGCCTCACACCCTTAAACTATGCTCATCTTTTACACCACAAATGAACTCTAGTCAAAATATATTGGTGGAGGGCCAATCAAATGTCATGGGTCGAACAGCCACCCCATGTCCCCCCTCTACATACGCCCATGATAAGATATAAGGTCAGTTGCCTCCTTAAAAATACATTATTACAGATCAAGAATCATGAAGCCTGTAGTGCAGCAGGTTGACAGCAGTAAATGTGAGGTGTCTAATAAGCAGAAAGGAAACGTGTTAGCAGTATGATCCTTCCTTTAATGTTCATTAGCTACTCGTGACAAACCAAACAGCCTTAAATTTAATTACCATCTTACCACAGGGAATGAACACTGTGTGACTGTTTAACATCTTTATTTTCATATCAGCCAAAAAGAAAAAAAAAAAAGGTACAAAAATTAAATATGAATGACTTCAAAGAAACCCTCTCAGAGCAGCACCAGCTTCTCATTGAGAGCAATCTGTGCTTGGGTGAGGTTGGACAGGTAGGTCACCATCAACAGGTCCTGCAACAACAAAAGAGAGCATTTAGATTCACACTAAACTAAAGTGAAAGATTATAACAGTATAACAAGGAAACAAGATTAAAGGATGGCAAGTTTGGAAAGATAATGCCCAGATAAATGATGCAAAAATACTTCCATCTTCTAAAGCTTCTAATCCTGAAGTAAAACAGTATGATGCAAGTAGAGCCCAGAGACCATAAATAACCATAAAAACAGGAGGAGAGTTTAATTAAATGCCAAAAACAACTCAGAGCTCACCTAAAGCCTCTTATATAAGAGATATGACAATTCAGTTTACTCTTTTTAGAGCCAATGTGTTTATACGTGGAGAGAAATTAAGTACATTATTGCCACAACAATCAAATTTTCAGCTACTTCCTTGTCACAACAGGTCGGCACAGCGGGTTCGATTTGGCAGTTTATTGCCAGATGATCTTCCTGACGCTAGACTTGTGTCTCTACCACAATAATAAAAATGACAGTGTCTATTAAGCTAGTCTCTACTGCTATTTTTTAAGTGCCATTTGCCTGTCTGTTTAGATCAAATAGCAAAACAAAAACAGTAGTTGTCACTGATATAGTAACTTAAACACGAGCACTTACATTGATGTTGGAATTGAGCATGTTCTCAAAGTCCTCAGGTGAGATAGTGGGCACTTTGTTTACCAGATCCATCAGGAAACGGCCCACGCTGTTGTCTGCTGTCACCTTGCCAGACTGAAACAGAACAACATGAACTTCATAGCCATGATCAGCGCAAAACTTAATTACTGCTCAAATGTTCCCAGGTGACCAATATTAAGTTAAATTGGCAGGGATTTAATTAGAAAAGAAAAAAAAAAACCCAGGGGACAAGTTTGTCTTGATACTCACCAGCACATCCTCAATGTATGCCAGCACTGTGGTCAACATGTCCTGTACCCTGGCTGCAGCACCACCAACCTGAGACAGGTCAGAGGTCAGCCCCTTGGTACGACTGGGGGTCACACGTGTTCGCTGTAGCAGGTCCACTAAAGAACAAATAGAGAGTATAATATAAAGTTTTCTTTCCTTTCATATGCACCCCAGCGAGTTGTTTGAGACACTGGGATTTAATTATTTGGCATTTCACAGATACTTAGTCACGAAGCATTTGTTTTCAAACAGTCGCCTTCATTTATTCTTTGTATTCTTACCGCCTATCCTCTCAGTGTCATAGTACACATACTTGACAGACAGTGGGGTGAACATCACACCAACTGTCTTTCCTGGCACACCCATCTGCGCACTGTGTAGGAGACACACAAACACATTCAGAGAAGCACTTTCAGGCTGTAGATGATCACATAAACACAGGCGCTGACAGAAAGATCAGCCAACCTGACGTAGGCGCGGATGTTCATTTTGCCACTCTGCAGTGCCGTGTCCACGGTCAGGTGAATGGGATTAGAGGCCTCACGGCTGTAGTACTCGTGGATGAGCACTGAATGTTCTGTGATATCAAAGCCTGTGGCATACCTGTCAGAAAAGTTGAACATCTGCTAAAGAATACTGTTTTTTCCACTTTTAACTTTAAATTGTTAATATGACTGACTGACACACCATCCGATGATGACCTCTGTAGGTGAAACCCTCTTGTGAAGCTCATACATGTTCTTGGCAAACTCCATGTCCACAGCAACCTGTTGTCAAAAACAATGCATTTAAGCACAGCCATGTACACTGTCTCGTAAACATTTCTACAGAATCATCTTTCACTTGTGAAAGAATTCAGTGATAATTACATAATACATGTATTAGTCATAGTTACCCTGTAAGATATTTTGTAATTCACTGTCTCACAAAGCAGGATTAAACATAGTAGGTGGTATCAAAAACCTTAGAAACTAACGATTTAGCCTCCACCCCATACCTGATAGCATAACACCACCTATAGTTTTCTGAGGGGGGTTGTTTCTATTGTTTACTCAGCTACTCAAAAGTAGTGCTTTGCAACACTATTACACATATCAAAATGACGTATCGCTACAGTGACCCAGATCATATCCAGAAAAGAACTTCTTGTAACAGGAAGAATCACAATCAGAATACTTTATTAATCCCTAAGGAAATCATGTAGCCTCAGTAGCCATTTAGAAAAACTACCAGGAATTTATTCCGCCTGGTATTTAGTAGCCATATCGAAATTAAAACCTTAATGGACATTTAAAAACCCAGACTCATCTAATTAAAGACACAAAAGCACAAACACACAAGTTTGATAAATTTTAGTTATCTTTTTCTTTGTTGATGCTCCTAAGATTTTAATTCATGACTCTTTGAGTTTCGGATATTTCTAACTGAATAATGCGTTATTCTTTAGATTACTTGCTGAATGTCAGTTTCGTGTCTTGTTTATTACTCGATGGCCGATGTGGAATGGCTACTGTATTACTGGCCCTTTCCACTTGGCTTCAACATCAGCAATAAATAAAATTATGTTAGCTGCAAATAAAGAGTTTAGTAACATACCTCATCTTCAGATTCATTGTGAGGGACAGAGAAGCAGTTGGTCACCTCGATAGAGTGCTTGTCAATAGTACCTGAAAAAAGCAAATGTTTCAGTTCTTGCATTATATTGTTGTAGCGACGAGCAGCTTCACTGTAAGTTAGCAAACAAGAGGATTCTCCATTAAATCGACAGTAATAAGCGCTAACATCAGCGATCTTTTCCTGTTGCTAAGCATCAAATGAGTGCAAACCCCACCAAAATGGAAATGAGTCCAGGTGATTTGCTAACTTTTTAACTATATGAACAACTGAGTGGGCGGCCAGCTGTTACGAGTGATGCCGCTAGCTAACTAACAGTAGCTAATGCTAGTCAGCTGCTGAACTGAACCAGCATGTGTTAGCAGCTAAAGCTAAAAGCAGCTAACTATGCGGCAACTGGTTTCGTGCGAAATCGGTCCAAGCGGCGCAGGACAAACATATTGTTTTTTTACTTACCCAAAAGGGTTCCAATCACACGACTCGCTCCCTCATTTCTTCGCTCGTAAGAGTCGCAGATAGAAGCGAGAACGACGGGATGAATTTTCACAACTGGCCCGAACACCGACATCTTGGAAAAGGAGGGCAGACTACTGATCACACTGCCTGAAGAGACCAACGGATTAGCGGCGTCATGGACACATATACCGCCACCTTGAGGCTGGCGGATAAATAGCGGTTAGTGAGAATAATGCTAATTATGATCAAGTCATTGATATCATTGTGATACAATGTTGTAGGACTGTATCTTCCTCTATAAGCGGAATTTTTTAATTAGTGAATTATTCTAACAAGGAGTCTGGTATAATAATAGTAATAATAATGTTATTATGGAAAAGCCATAAAAAGGATTGCATCACAATCAGACCATATTTAAAATGACATATACAATGAGCATTATTACATCCAATCTGTATGTTTATGTTTCTGCATTTTTGCATTGTTACTGCATCACAAAGGCCTTTAATTTCCCCATCAGTGAACTCTGCAGATGCTGAGGGTCTGACCGAGAGGAGGGAGAGGACTGTCCCTTCTGTTGTGGAAATGAGAAGCGTCTGAGGCAAGCAGGCAAACAAGCAGGCAGGCTTGATAGGGGCTGGGCTGATGACAGCATCCTCTACCGCTCCACACCTGACCGACTCCATCAGATACACAGATGATGGAGCTCTCCGCGCTGCCGGGTTATTATCCTGTTGCCTCCATTTCGCACATCCACTGCCAGACACATGTTCTGAAAAAGCCTTATCGTTAATCAGAGTACTTGAACTGTTTTTTTCGGGTTTGTTTGGGTGTGTGTGTGTGTGTGTGTGTCTTTAGCTTGGGCTGCCCGCTTTTTATTTTTTGTGAATACTGAGCGGTCGGATCGAGGTGGTCTTTGTTTTCCAGGAAAAGCGAACAAGAGTGGACTGATTATGCTGCGTCGCTCGTAAATACCAGAAATGGGTGTAATTGAACCAAGGTTGCGAATCCTGGCTCGTTCTTGGACTCGATTTTCGCCGTTCTTATGGCAAAACATCTGCCCAATCTGGGTCTTACACATCTACAAGTTGGTGCACTGAGCAGGTAGGATTTTACTCGTTTATCTTTGGTCTGTGTGACATTAAACCAAACCGTAGCTGAGCTGTTTGGTTCCTGTAGCCCTCTTGCCGGCTCACAGACACTCTTTAACAGAGGCTATTTCTGATCCATCCATCAGGCGTAGTGCGTCATCTTGACTGTCACCATCAGTCTCCTCTGGCGTCCAATCCGCCAGTTGTCCAAATGGACGCACATCATCCAAGGCTATAGAGGACTAGGACTCCATTTTACTGAGTAAATATTTCATCACGTCTCGTTATCCATGTATATATTTAACTCGGCTTCTTATATAGGACTTATGTAAGACTATTTCAACAGGCCTGCTGTATAAATCCAGCATATTTAAAATAGCACGAAGTGCACTTATACAACACACACGTCTGGGCCACACACACACTCCTAGCCCGAGGCTTTTTATGAAACATACAGACCAGTTAAAGTGGCTCTGATATGCATATGCCATGTCGTGCATCAGGAATAGAGGTCTTTCAGAGAACTAATTTATTCTACCATTGTGTCTAATTTCCAAGGACTTTCAAAGTTATCCATATTCAATCTGAAAATAAGGACTTATTCCTTTATTTTATTATTAAAAGACTTCAAATGAGACTTTGACAATAGTAATAAAAGCACAAAAAATGATACACATTTATTTATAGGTTTTTAGAATTTATTATAGCAACATCAGAGTTCAAGCACTCCTGTGAGGAGGTCTTGTTTCTTTAAAGAAATCATTTGACAGTGAATTATTGTGACAGTAAAACAGATAATCAATTCCATTGTTTC